TGCTATAACCTTCAACAACTTACCTAATTTTCCTAAGCCTCAATTTCCTCATCTGTAAAATGGATGTGATAACAGCGCACCTGCCTCACAGGACTGTTGAGAGAATTAAATGAGTTGGTGCGTGCTCATCATTTAGAATGGTGCCTAGCATAGAGTAATTGTTCCATAATTCATTTAATTATAACCCTATGGAATACTCTACCTAAAAAGAAAGAAGTAAAAAAAAATAATAAAAAAAAATAAAAAGAAAGAAGTAGATCCATATGTATGTTAACTGAGACCAATCTCTAATACACAACATTCAGTGAAAAAAAAAGTGGAATGCTATATGTTGTATTTTGCTATTTAGTGTTCTACTATTCATGTTTCTTGGGGCGAGCTACTCTAATTTCCTATATGGACCTATGTATGTAAGTGCACAGGGAGGAAAGGGTCTGGAGAAGGAGCTGGCATTAGAGCGAGTAACCAAAAAGGACTTTACCTTTATCTCTTCTAGATACATACATACTGACCGACAGACACACACATGGCCATAGATGGTATTCACACAATACTTGTCACTTTAAAATGTGGACGGATACAAATTAAGGGGCAGAGGTGGTACAAATTATTATTCCCCTTTTATAGAAGAGGAAACGAAATAAAGTTTAAAGACATCCAGTAGATGACTAAGCTCATGCAGCCCACAAGCCCTGGAGGAGTTCAGCCCAGCTCTGCCCCCGTGGCCTTCCCACCACCCCACACTGCCTCTCCAGGCCACCCGGGAGCTGACTGTGACAAAGGCTGGAGGAAGGGGACTCCTTGTCCACACTGGCTGGAGTGGTAGAGACCAAATGCAGTGGAGAGTTGTGCTGCTGTTTTTGTTTTCATTAGCGAACCTGTCGGAATGTGCTGTTCAGCAGTGCAGCTGGATGGTTCCTGCTGTTCCTGCAAACAAACAGAAGCCCCTCCGCCCCCCACTTCTCTGGCCCATCCACCAGCCTTATCTATCCAGGGATTGAGAAAGGGGCACAGCCTGGTGGGAGGGGTTCCTCCACTGGCCAGCCGGGACCCAGTCTCCTGACTCCCTCTCTGGTTTTCCATCTGCTCCACTGGCCATCCGCACAGACTGGACGCTCGTCCTGGGCAGCCCCAGCTCGGCCCCACCTAGAAGGGAGTACTGGGGCCCAAGATCCCTCATCTCTAATAGCTCTACTTCTCTCTGGGCCTCAGTGAGACAAGCAGAGTGTTTTGTTTTTTGTTTTGTTTTTTTTTTACTTTGACTTGGTGACTTGGAGGGTCTCTTCCAGTTCTAATAGCCAAAGAACACCGGAAAATTTCCTTTCTTCTTCTCTGTTTATATCCTGATATAATAAGTTCTCCCTTCCATAAGATGATGTTTAATGAAAACCACTCGCCATTTGGTTTAGCTTCATATTCTTAAAAACTTCTCAAACTAATAAGAAAAGCATTCTTCAAATGACCAGTTCATCTTGGTCCTAGGAGGGGTCATTGGACTTAGAATGTCAAGGGTAAATGAGAGTGGAAAAGTCATGGAAGAACAGTATAACTAACGGGGCATTTAGCCTTACGTAGTAGCTGGGTGACCTTGGGTGAGCACAGCCTCTCTCAGCCTCAGTGTTTTCCATCTGGAAACAATGGGTAGAACCACTACTCTTCAGGTCGCTATGAAGTACATGTGCACAGCAGGCATCTGAGAGCTGTCCCTGCCCTCGTCCTACAGAGAGCAGCCTCCCTCTCTCCAGGGTTTCCAAGATGTTGGGCAGCCCAGGTCCCCTCCCCACGTGGCTGGCTCCTTTCTGAAGTCTGATCCTTTTCTTCTCCTGAAGTCACAAAGCCCAGCGAGGAGTGTCATTGTGTTTAATAGTGAGAGGGAATGGATTTGGCTTCTTTGAAAATAGCTTCTTTTGCTAAAAACACAACTTCAGATCTGATACCAAAAGAATCCACTGGCACTGGTCCCTGTCACAACAATTCTGAGATATGCAGGGACCATCCTCCAGGACTGGCAGTGGGCCTCCGGGCTGAGCCTTTCTCCCAATTCCCAACAGGCTCAGGGGGCAGGCCCCCCAACCCTTCACCTCTCAGCCCCACTCCCCTATGCGAGGGGAGGGGGAGCAGGGAGAAGGCTCTGTGTTCTGAAGCAAAACTCTCTCTACTGCCCTCCCCTGGCAGAAACACTGCCCCCCCATACACACACATCCACTGCCCACCCCTCCTGAGCTGAACAGAGCTGCTGGAGCAGGATCTCCCCAGCCAAGGCTGCCTTCTTCATCCCCAATCCCCTCCCTTCCCTCCTCCAGAGTCAAGGTTTTATCAGAAGTTTCAAGGGCATGACGGGTGGGGAGGGGGCCACAGACATCACGGCCGCCGCCAAGTCCTTTTCTCTCCCCCACAGTGTGTTTTATAAGCCAGCATGTAGTTTACTCTTCTCCTAAACACTCCACTAAGGTGCAGGGCCTGGCGTTGCCATAGAAACACCTTTGAACTCCTCCTCACCCAGAAGACTGTGCCAATCCCCAGGGCTTTGGGGGAGAAAGGCAAAAACAGACACCTGTGGATGAGGAGAAAGGAGAGGGAAGACCATGGTGGGGGGTTCCTTAGAGAGGGCTGAGCTAAGCATGTCGTGCCCTTCACCCGGCAACATGGCACCAGTCCACAAAGAGAAAGAAAAGAGCCAGGAAGGTTTTGGAAGAGGAAGCTGGTGGGCTGGCCTGTGCCCCTTTAATGAGCTATAACGTTGATCGGTGGGTTCATAGAGGCCAAGGGGAATGGGGAGGGGAGCGACTATACATTTCCTTCAGGGAAAGAACGGGCAATCTTCTACCCAGACTGGAAACTGGAAAGGCTGTGACTAGGAAAACTGGGAGCCCCCTACTGGATGCCAGCAGGGTACTATAAGGCCACAGAGGTCAACAAGCAAGCAGCCCGCATCCACACCTCCCATTTTTAAAAGCATTATCTCATCGCTGCCACCAGGGCAGTGCACCAAACCGAGGCAGGACAGTTTTGGATCGGGGCCAGCGTATCGAAGATTTTTTTTTTTGTTCCTTTTTTAGTTTTGCTATCAGAATGTTCTGGTCTTCGGGTACTTCCTGGTAACTTAGCTTTTCTCTGGGCAGTTTACTGGGGTGGTGGGGGGAGTATTTTTTGAATAAATCCAGAGAAATTACAAGAAACTTTCTGCATCAACCCAGGCCCACAGCAGGAACCCTAAGCAGTAAACAGAGTCAGGCAGTGCCCCCATTTGGATGTGGGGTTTCCTTGCTTCTGTTTCCACTGTTCGCTAGCCGACTTGCAAGGTGGGAACCCAAAAGCTGAGGGTGGGAGCAAGGAGGAGGCATGAGGTCTCCCTCTCCCCGCATAGCAGAGAGTCCGAGGGAGCACACCAGAGCCACTGTGGAGCAAAAGAGGACGCCCTGACTCCACCTGTCAGATTCCTGGCCCCAGTGTGTGCTCCTCGCTGAGCAAGACCAGAAGCCAGCAGCACCAGCAGCTCCCAGCGCTGCTCAGGTAGGAATGTACCTACAGGGTGAGAAGAGACAGGCCAAGTGGAATCTGGGTGGGGTCAGTCAGTCAGAGGAGAAGGGAGACTGCCCAGGCCTCAGGCAGCTCAGAAGAATCCTTCTAGGCAATCCACAAACCCAGGGCCAGCCAGGTTTCCCCTGGAGAGGAAAGGGTGACCTCTACCAAGGGTGACCCCGGGCCACACAAACACCCAGCCTAACTGGACTGACCTGGTCACCACAGGCGCCTCCCTCACTTCTCCAGGATTGGGCCAGGCCCACCAGCAGCACCCCTCCCAGCCTCAGCTGCCTCCTCCCCTCCTCCCCTGCAGCACACTTGTGGAGGCCCTCACCCAGGACCCAGTGGAAAATTTCCTTCCCTTTATGACTGCACTTAAAACACACATACTCCATTCTTCACCTCTGAATCGACTCAGCTAGACTGTGTCCCACCCCAACCCCAGCCTGCACACGCGCACACACGCACACACCCAGCAGGGGCCACTGGACGTGCATGCTTTATGAGCTGGAAAGGAGAGGAGAGATGTTTTCCAGCTGCCACTCTACCTCTTGCCATGCAAACAAGTGTCCTGAACGCTCCCACACAAGCTCTCCCACGGTAATCTCAAGGCCCTCGATGACAGCTCCTTCTACTTTGTGCCGCGTCTCTCTAAGCAAGACACAAGTCCAGTCTGGGATTCTCACCAGGCTGTGTGACCTGTGGCATCTTCGTTCTTTTGGTGACAAATCTATTTTCTACTGCTTCTTCTCCCCCTCCTCACACACATTCAAGAAAAAAATAGCCTTCCTGTGAATTCTCACAGCTCTGTGATAAGTGATCCCTCACACACGCCACCTCCTGCTCGCTATCAACACTCTCAAATACAGTTTCTCCGGGGGAGGGTCAACCCCACCGCTTTCTTCTCATTTTCCCCTTAAATCCACCCACATTTAGCAGCCCAAGAAGCTCCATTAGTACTTGCCTGAGAAACTTAAGGCTGGGTTGTGTTTCAATGAAAAGAATGAACTTCTTGGGCACAGAAAGATGATGCGAACTCAGAAAACTTCAAGTTTCTGAGCAACTTTTGTGCACATGGCTGGCGACTTTTCTTTTCTTTCTTTTTTTTAACTATCCAGCATCCCAGCAGTTGAATTGGCATTACAAGCTTTAGGAACCCTTTCCCTTTTTCCCCCAGCCCTTCCTCCCGCCATCGTGAAAAGGGAATTTTACCAGATTGGTAAATTTGGACCAATGGGAACCTCGTACCCTAAAAGGAGAGCAAAGGCTGCAAAGGGTTCGTTCACCCACTATAGGATTTCTCTGCAGGGCATCTCCCCCTCGGCTATATCAGAGCCCCCGCCCCAAGCCCAGGCAGGTAAAGAAGAGCGGGATTTGCCAGGCCACCTGAGCAGCAAGCGGCGTCCCAGTCCGGGCTGCAGCGCGCGACCGGGCACTGCGGGGGCTCCCGCGGGGACACCCAGAGGTGCGCTTACCTATGTCGGAGTTGCAGAAGGCGTCCTGGGGGTGGCTGGGCGAGCATGTGCACGCCTCGGCGCCCAAATACGCTAAGCTCCAGATGCTCAGGAGCACGACTAGCCCGAGCCAGGGAGTCATTGCCGCTGCTGGGGCTACTGCTCTCATCTCCAAAGTTGCCGTGCGCGCCGCCACTGGAGGGGCTACTGCAGCCGGAGCTCGTCTACCCGACCGTACGGGGCAACTCAGACCTAGGGTGCACTGCCTTCCGAGAGCCCAAAAGGACGGGATGGAGTGCGGCGAGACTGTCGCGGCGCTGGCGCACGACTCTGCGGGCCGGCGGTCCCTCCGGGTCGAGCAGGAGTCGGAGCCGGGGCAGGAGCTGGAGAAGACGTCTGAGAGCCTGCCGGCTGTCCGCTCTGCGCCGTTCCGGAGAGCCCGGGAATTATAGCGCGGTACCCTGACACCCCCTCTCGGGGCCCCGCCCCTCCGACCAATCGCGAAGCCGCATTACCTCATCGGCCTCCAAAAAGGGGGCGGGGCTGGGGGCGAGGGGCGACAGGGCGGGGCCACCCGGGACTGTTCGGATCCTTATAGGGAATAATGCGGCTACGGGCACGTGAGTAAATTGGACGTGCCTCCGACCCACACTGGCGGACTAGCCTTCCGAGCAGCGCCCTCGGGCCCCCTCTCGCCCCTACCTTTGCCACACGTTCACCCTGCCTTCTGGACCCCTCTGACCCAAACCAGAATGAACCACTACCCACTCCAGCACCAGCCCCTCCCTGGGTCAGAGGTGGTCCCGGACCTAGAGACCTCGACTGCATCTGGATAAAAGGCTAGGAGAAAAACTACCCTTACATCTCTGGAAAGAGCAGAGTCCGAGGGGAAGAAGCCAGATTACAAGACCTCCCACCCCCTCCACACACACCACACCCCGCGCCACCTCCACCCCTGACTTTCCTGGGTACGAGGAAGCCATCTGCCTTTTGGACTTAGTTACAACAGAAGGTCGGTTCCGCGGAGTAAATTGTGAAGTCATTCGAAAACCACTCTTCTGGAGGTGGGGGGTCAACAAAACGAAGTTACTGCACCCCTGTGAATACATAGGGTAATTGTCTGTGGTGGTAGTGTTGTGAAGAAAACAAAACGGAGTAATGGGGTTACAACTGACTGTGGAGGGCACTGCTTTTTGTGGGGGTGGGAAGAGAAAATTCTCTCTGAGGAGGTGACATCCACGCTGAGATGTGAACGAGAAGGCTCAGCCATGTGAGAATCTGGGAGGAGAGGACACCATTCGGGGAGAACAGCCAGTGCAAAGGCCCTGAGCATATTCGAGAAACAGTAAGTAGAAAAGGCAGGAGGAAATGGTAACCCCGCCCAGGGCAGGCAGGTCTCCACCCTTTAGCAAGGAATTTGAGGGCAAACTGATCCAAAACTAGGGTAAAACCAGAGGACTATCCAGGATCTTAAAACTGTGAGCTGAAATGAATAATTGCTACTAACTAATACCATGACTTTCATTATTAAGTAATGATCTTGATTCTACCTTCTATTTTTGCATACCCCACCTCATTATACCTCACACTCATAGACAGGGAGAATACCAAGTTTTAACCATACTCTCCAGATGAGGAAACCGGCACATAGAAGTGACAGGACTTGGCCAGCAGCCAGGAGGTCCGTGCACTCGTTCCCACCTTGGGAGAGAGGCTTGTGTTTTGGGTCCGTAGCAGCGGTCAACTGTGACTGTGCCAGTGCCCCCTTTACTCTCTGCCTTTCTCTGCCAGCTCATCCCATTTAGAAATACTAAAAGTTTAAAAGAAACACGAACTGCAAATACTACTCAGAAAAGCAAGCTGCGCCTCTTTCCCAGAAATGCCTTTCTTTACCCCTCAGACAAGTGACATTGGGATGACGGAGCAGAAAATGTCCTTGGAAATGGTATTTCCAAGAACATTTTTAAAATTCCTTTTCATCCCTTAAAATTCTTAGCTGTAAGGAAAGGGGTCTAGTTTTCACATTTTTCTGCCTTGTTCCCTTCTAGCTTTTAAGAGCCTCCCCACCTCAACTCTAACTTTTGCCTGTGACCTATACAGTTCTTTCTCTGCATGTTTATTCTAGCACTTTGCTCATTGTTTCCTGGGATATTGGCGTATTATTTCCCCAACCACACTAGAAACACTTGGAAGCCTGAGATATTTGGGCCACACAACTTTTTAGTCTTCAGAGCACAAAATGGGGTCCTGGGAGACCTGGGTGTAGGTGTGGCCAGCAGTCCACCGAGTGTTGAGAAGTGAACACTCAGGAACCTCCCCCCACACACACACCGGGCATTGAGTGAATGAGGGCATACTTGGTGGGATTTGAGAATCTCACTTATTCCTGCACAGTGCCAGTCATGTGGAAGGTTTTACCTTTTACAGCCTTTCTAGACCAAATCCATTTTGGATAAGCATCTTATGCGATAGGATAGAGGCCCTCTCTTCTCTGTTTTCTTTTCACATTGCTGTTTTGTCCAAAATGCCAATGTTTTCTCCAAGGGAAGGTTTGCCAGAATATGAGTATGAGGCAGAGATAACTTTTGCCGAACTGTAAGCAGCAGGTTTCTTATAGGAAGCATCAGAAGCATTGGATTATGGCAGCTCCTTAATTATGTAAAAAAAAGAGCAATCTGATTGTTTTTCCAACTGAAAGGTAATGAAATTGTCTTTCAGTTTAGTTCCTCTCATCCCCTATCCTAAACTAGTCCACGCAGCATCTGTGGCGTTTATCTTCTCTTTCAGTCAGGAAGTTCTCCCTAGTGTCTAACCTGAGGGGACTCCACTCTGCCCAGCCATGTGAGGTCGACTCAGTCCTCATCTTGAGGAAAAGGAGAGCAATCTCCATAAGTCTCTGTCCGGGGGAGCCCTTCTGCCAGGGTTAGCCCCTCCAGCAAGCAGACCTCACAGCCATCCACCCAGATGGCATCGTGTCCATGGGCCTAATGTGTAAGAATTGCTCTTTCGAGGCCACTTTATAAGGTAGATGGGGTGAACTGGGGCTAATGGTAAGGGTGAAGTTACTGACTCTCCAGTATCTTTTCTTGACTGCTAAGGACAATGACAAAATTTATAAACCTTGGAAGAATGGAAGAGGTTTCAAAATGTACCTGTCTGACCTGCCTTCAAAACCTACCAGGCTGACCTGGTCTTTCCTTTCCTGGAACTTTTCATGACCAACCACCCGCTTTTCATATCAGGTTGCAGAAGGCTGGGATCTCCGGGAAACTTCTCATAGGCATGTACAGGTCTCATCCTCTTCCCATCCGTGAGAAAGATAAGGTCCAGACAGGTGAAGGAATTTTCCCAGCATCTTGTGGTCAGCTGGTGGCAGAGCCGAGATTGTGCGGCAGCGCGTGACCTGGCGTTTGCACTGAGGTCATGGAAACCGCAGCCCCTCCCAGGCCTGGGTCTGAGTTTCAGATCTGTCGATGAGTTCACTTCAGCGTCTCTGTCGTGCACGACGTGAAGAATTCCGCCTACACTGACTAACCGGATAGTTGTCTCTGATGATAATCAGTAGCTCTGCCCGCCCGGCCAGGTGAGCCGATTAGAGTGAAGACGGCTCTCGACTCCTCAGAGGTTTCTCTCTCGTGTGTTTATGGTTTTCCTTTCTGAGTTACTGTTTAACGCCTTTTGGAAATGTCCCGAACGTATTTCTGCAGAGACACATGAACACTTTCAGGGGGACAAAAGATGCCTGGGTTACAACACAGCAAACAGTCTGAGGTTTGTTCCCAAACTTGCTGCAGAAGGACAGACGTGTGTGTGCAGACAGGTCACCTCGCCTATCCAGGCATTGATTTCCATTCTTATTGGCTGAGAGATATAGCTCAGTGGTCTACGAGATTCCCCTTGGCTGGAAAAGTCTAAGATTTCATGGAAAATTCTCAAGAACAAGGTGAATGTTACTGAAGGGAAGACAGACCTGGCCAGTTAAACAGGTTTGAGGCCAATCACATGTGCCCAAGACGGACGCGCATCAGTCGGTCTCTCAGGCAACAGTTACCGAGTTCTTATCTGGTCTCTGCTCCAGGACTGAGCCCGAAACCAAAGACTGTGACACGGAGGCAGAGGCCGGGCCGAGGTCTTGTTCCCGATGCAGCCCCATTGTAATTACTTGTTTTTCAGTCTGTTTGCCTCGTGGATCATAAGCACTAAGAGATGAGAAAGTGTGTTTTTTTACTTTGTCCATACGTTATTCCAAGACTTACTGAACTCCTATACTGTGTTCAGATTGTGGCTTACACGTCACCTTCTCCAGGAAGCCTCTTCTAATGCCCCTCCCCAGTCTCCATCACCCCCCTTCCGCGTGTCCCCACAGCACCCTGTGCTTCCTTCTTTCACACTACTTACCCGAAGGTAATGTGATTGTTGACCCGTCTGCTTCTCTTCCCGAACTATAAGCCCTTTGAGGACAGGGGTCAAGTGCTGGTGACAAAGAAGGCAGTGAGAAGTGGTTGAATGAGCGGAGTTGATTGGCCCCACCAGCCCCTTGCCACTATTCAGGTGGGCTGGTGGAGCTCGCTGACTCCTATCCCTCCGGCCAGTGCTAGGGGGCACTGTAAGCCAGAAATCACCCGTTCCCCAGCCTGCAGTCTCAGCCAGTCTCACTGCAAGGGCTGGAGCCGTACAGTTCCACACTAGTCAGTGGGGTGCGGGTGCCTTTGAGTGGGTACAGCTGACCCCTCCCGTCTGCAATAGCCACAAAGCTCTCAGTCAGCATCCCGTCTGAGTCCGCAGCTGCCCACCTTCTCCACCCTCAGGCTGGCCACATGTCAACCCGATGGGGAGGCTGCTCTTGGGAAGAGAGAATACTTGTGAATCATGGATTTGGGGGGACACGGGGTCTGGGAACACAGCAGGGGATGCCACGGTCCTACTCTTCCTGAGCTGCCTCGAAATTAAACCTGCAGACGGTGCTGACAAGACAGGGATTGCTTCTGGTGCCTCACAGAAGAACACCTCTTTTCTCTCCTGCTTGTTCCTCTCCGGACCCTAGCCACAATGCCTTCCCCCAATCCCGCAGTCCATCTGAAAGTCATTACACTCAAAATAGCCTTTCCCGGCAACAGACAGCCCTAGTCCACCCATCGCCGTGAGCCCTGGCTGGACCCTCCGTGGAGCTGCTGCCCAGCATTGGGCCATTAGGAAGCTGAGACAGTAGGTACTTCAGGTTCTCTGGGTCTGGCTCCAGCAAGGAGTAAACACCTTTCTGTGCTCCCGTCTGGAGCCAATTCTGTGGCAGTAAAATTGCAGAGCGTCTCTGGCCCCAGTTCTCCCCCAGCCCTGCCCGGGAGTGAAGACCCCTCAGTGAGAGTCTCTGGCTGCTTCACCTGAACCGTTGGTTTTCACATTTCTTTCCACCCCCAGCTACTCCCAGAGATTTTAAGGCAG